TCTGAACAACTTTTGAAGAGGAATTGGAGTTTTAAAAGTTGTCATGAAAGTCTCTAATTACAGAAAAAATTAGCTTGACTGTTTTCCTTGTTGCTCTTTTGAAAAAGAGGGTCTGAAAATTTACTAAGTATGACAACAAAGTCTCTAAGTTGTCAACTGTGTCTCTTTGGTCTTGTCCAGAGGTGCACGTACTCCCTCCATTTAGCCGCAAATGATGCATTCCCATGAAGACAGTGAAAAGGAGATTTTGTAGATCTTAGCAGGGACAGCAAATCAGGATGAAGAACAGAAATTATGTGTTTCATGTCAAGGTACTCTCATTAGGGTCCTGGTAGACTGTTCTGCATTATCGTATTTTTTGTATGTCTTTCCTAGGAATCCCAAAGAGAAGTTCATTACAGTAATCAAGTCTGGAGACGACGAAGGCATAAACAAACTTCTCTACATCTTTCCCAGAAGTTAAAGACTTCTGGGAAAATCAAAGGAGAAACCACAACAGGCCCGGTGAAGGAAACAGTTCATACTGAGTCCTGCTGGTGAAAAATCTGAAAAAGACTCCAACTTGAACCAACTGCTTCAGGTTTCTGCTAACCCTAAACCTGCCCTCGTCATGATGAGGTGATGAAGATCCTCCATAGTACTGATCAGGATTGTATCTGTTATTTCTGCACTATGGCTGAACTTAAAGGTCATGAACCAGTCCCAGCTGCAGCAGAACCAGAACAAATATTCTTAAAATATTCACAAGAAATCACTCTGGATCCAAATACTGTGAATGGGTTTCTGATATTGTCTGAGGGGAGCAGAAAAGTGACAAGAGGGGAAGAACAACAGTCTCATCCTGATCACCCAGACAGATTCGCTGGTTTTTGGTTTCAGGTCCTGAGCAGAGAGAGTCTAACTGGTCGTTGTTACTGGGAGGTGGAGTGGAGAGGAAGATTAGTTTATGTTGCAGTTTCATACAAAAACATCAGCAGAGCAGAAAGATGTAAGGAATGTTTTTTTGGACTTAATGATAAATCTTGGTCATTACGTTGTGACAGAAAAAGTTACACATTTTGGCACAATGACATTGACACTCCAGTACCAGGTCCAGTTTCCTCCAGAGTGGGAGTGTACCTGGACCACACAGCAGGTATTCTGTGTTCTACAGCGTCTCTGAAGCCATGACTCTCCTGCACAGAGTCCAGACCAGATTCACTCAGCCGCTACATGCTGGAGTTTATATTTATCATGGCTCCTCTGCTGAGTTCATTAAGATGAAATAGTCAGCAGTGATCTGAGGTGGCTGGGCCCAGATTTAGTGAGACATAGCGGAGTTGATTCTCCCTGAGATTCCTCTATTATTATTAACTATGATCAGAAGTAGAGCAATGGTGATCATTTCACCATCAGTGGCATGACGCCACTGAAGCACATCTGTGCTTTATAGACGCTAACTAATTTCCAGGTCAGCAGAACATTAACTGATGTAACTAACACTACAAAGTTTTGTAGAAAATGTTTTAATGACATTTGTATGCATTAAAATGTTATAAAAATCTGTAGTTTCTGCCTTATTGATGCTGAATGCCAATTATATATCTTTTTCCCCATGCAATAAATTCTCTGTCTCAAATAATGTCAATCTACTCTACAAATAAAAATCTTATAAATTGTTTCTTAGAGACTTAATGAGTCGAAGAACTCATATTTATTTCTTTAATTAAAAGAGAAAAGGGAGAGCATTACAATAAGCAAATCAAAGCTGAAGTTTGTATGTTTGTGTTTCCCTTAGAAAACCAACCAGTTCAGCAGGTTAAAAACATTATGACATAAATTGTTTCCTTCCTCAGGCAACACAGATAAAGGTGTCCAAAACTTATTCAATACTTCATTAGATAACCCCAAGTTACCCAAAGAAATTAGATAAATCTTTTTAACAGTCAAGTGTTAAGATTGGAGATGAAGTTAGCTCCAGTAGGCTGATGGTGCAGATTTAAACTGATTTTTCACATGGATTGAAATATGGCATGACGCCACTCCCATCTTGAAAAAGAAGGCAGTTTAACAGTTTATTTCCTGGTTCTTTCATTTAAACCTCAGACAAAGTCCAAGCCACTGCATTGTGAATTTGAGGAGTCGACAAATCAACCTGCTGAAGCTCGATGAGAAAAAGACAAATTCTGGTTTGGCTTATTCTGAAGCACATCTGTTTGCAAAAAAGGAAAGAAATACTACAGACGTTCAAGGTGAAATGGCACAGAGGCGAAATCAGAAAGAGTCAGCTAAATACTCTTGTTCCATCTGTTTGGATCTACTGAAGGATCCGGTGACTCTTCCCTGTGGACACAGTTACTGTATGAACTGCATTAATGACCACTGGGATGGAGAAGATCAGAGGAGAATCCACAGCTGCCCTCAGTGCAGGAAAGAGTTCATACCGAGGCCCAACCTGGAGAAAAACATCATGTTAGCTGATTGGTGGAAGATTTGAAGAAGACTGGACTCCAAGCTGACCACTGCTATGCTGGACCTAAAGATGTGGCCTGTGATTTTTGCAGTGGAAGGAAGAGGAAAGCTGTCAAGTCCTGTCTAGTTTGTTTGGTGTCTTACTCCCAAAAGCACCTTCAACCTCACTATGAATCACCTACGTTTAAAAAACATCATCTGGTTGAAGCATCTACTGAACTTCAGCAGAGGATCTGCTCTCGTCATGATGAGGTGATGAAGATCTTCTCGTACTGATCAGCTGTGTATCTGTTATCTCTGCACTATGGATGAACATAAAGGCCATGAAACAGTCCCAGCTGCAGCAGAAATGGCTGAGAAGCAGAAGAAGCTCCAGGAGAGTCGACAACAAATCCATCAGAGAATCCAGGACCAAGAGAAGATGTGAAGCTGCTTCAACAGGAGGTGGAGGCCATCAATGTCTCTGCTGATAAAGCAGTGGAGGACAGTGAGAATCTTCACTGAGCTGATCCGTCTAATCCAGGAAAGAAGCTCTAAAGTGAAGCAGCAGATCAGATCCCAGCAGGAAACTGAAGTGAGTCGAGTCAAAGATGTTCAGGAGAAGCTGCAGCAGGAGATCACTGAGCTGAAGAGGAAAGACGCTGAGCTGGAGCAGCTCACACACAGAGGATCACACCAGTTTCTCCTCAACTACCCCTCACTGCCAGCACTCAGTGAGTCTACAGGATCATCCAGCATCAACATCCGTCCTCTGAGACACTTTGAGGACGTGACAGCAGCTGTGTCAGAGCTCAGAGACATCGTACAGGATCCTAAAGACCCATGGACAAACATCTCATTGGCAAAAACTACAGTAAAGGTTTTGCTGTCAGAACCTGAACCAAAGACCAGAGCTGGATTCTTAAAATATTCACAAAAAGTCACTCTGGATCCAAACACAGCACACAGGAAGCTGTTTTTATCAGACGGAAATAGGAAAGTAACATCAAAACTTTCCTCAACTTCTGTATTACGGTATCATTTCAGTGATCCAAGCAGATTCACTGATTATAATCAGGTTCTGAGTAAAGAGGGTCTGACTGGACGTAGTTACTGGGAGGTGGAGTGGAGAGGAGGAAGAGTTGCTGTAGCAGTTTCATACAAGAACATCAGCACAGAAGGAAGGTCAGATAAGTGTTTATTTGGATTCAATAACAAATCTTGGGCATTATATTGCGGCAGAAACAGTTACACTTTTCATCACAACAACATTGAAACTCCTGTACCAGGTCCAGTTTCCTCCAGAGTGGGAGTGTACCTGGATCACAGGGCAGGTATTCTGTGTTTCTACAGCGTTTCTGAATCCATGTCTCTCCTCCAGAGTCCAGACCAGATCACTCAGCCGCTACATGCTGGGGTCCGACTATTTGATGAGGCAGATTTTGTTGAGTTCATTAAAGTCAAATAGAGTCAGAACAGCATAAATGAACCAGTGAGATATTCACACCTAGGGGCAATGGGAAGAAGCCAGAGTACCCAGAGACAACCCATCCATCCACAGGGACAACATCCAAACTCCATGCAGAAAGACCCCGGGACGGGAATTGTACCCAGGGCCTTCTTGCTGTAAGGCAACAATGCTACGAACCATCGCACTGTGCAGCACACGTGATAAGACTAAACACAAAAGAAAATATTCAAAGTTGAACTGGGCGAAGATTTTAGCAAGTCAAGACGCATAACTCTGAGGGAAAGCTCATTGATGCAAGAGTAATAGAGAGAAAAACTGGTTTAACACGTTCTAATTATATAACTTCTTTCTCAATGCAACTTTTAAGAAAATTAGTCATCATATCCCCACATATCAAAGTGGTTCTAAATAATGAAATGCATTTTACTGTATTTGAATATATCTGAGAGGATAGATTATGTAGTTCCAAGTCTGTTTGCCTTTTGAAAAGTGCCTTAAGACATCTGTTGTAAATTTCTCCAATTTTAATGCGATGAATAAAATGAAATTAAATGGATGGATATGTCCTATTGACTTCAAGGCATCAGGTATGTAATTTTTCATCAGTACCTCTTCAGTAACCACTACCTTATCAAGAAGTTCACTCTGCAAAAACAACCTCTGTCCTCTAGAGTACTGATAACAGCAATAAAAGCCACTCCCATTTGTCAGGTAAACAGTAGGGAGTGGCTGGTTGTTCATTTCCCTAAAGGAAGAGTCACACAGTATTACTGAAACTCTGCAGCAGAAACATCAGATGGATTCTGCTAAATTAACTTGTTGTATTTGTTTGGATCTGCTGAAGAGTCCGGCAACTATCCCCTGTGGACACAGCTACTGTATGAACTGCATCAGGTCTTGCTGGGATCGGGAAGATCAAAAAGGAGTCTACAGCTGCCCTCAGTGCAGGAAAAGTTCACAACAAGGCCCGGCCTGGTCAAAAACATTGTGCTTTCAGAGTTGGTGGAAGATCTTAAGAAGACTGGACTACAAGCGGCTCCAGCTGATCATTACTATGCTGGACCTGAAGATGTGGCCTGCGATGTCTGCAGTGGGAGGATGAAAGCTGTAAAGAACTGTCTGGTTTGCTTAGCCTCGTTTTGTGAGAAACACATCCAACCTCATTATGAGTCTTTTACTTTTAGTAAACATAAACTTGTTGAAGTTTCAGTGAAGCCCCAGCAGAACTTCAGCTCTCGTCATGATGAAGTGATGAAGATTTTATTTGATAAATTTAAAAGAGATCCAAATGCAGCAGAAAGGACAGACAAGCCGGAGTTTGAAGTAATGCGACAACAACTCAAGCAGAGACATCAGAACCAAGAGAAAGATGTGAAAGTGGTTCAACAGAAGATGAGGAGCATCAGCGTCTCAGATGATAAAGCAGAGGATACCAAGGTGTCACTTCCCTCCTCTAACAAAAAGAGGGTGAAGAGCAGACCTTTATCAGTGCCGATACCGCCTGGTCCAGACCCAGTCCCAGGTGGTGGTGTCTCTCCAAACATGAAGAAATTGATCAAAAACTTCAACAAAGATAAACCAGCACCTGTTCCCACCTCCATTCCAACAAAGATTTGTGGTAAATGTGGCAAGGATTTGTCCAGCACTCAACCAGCTTTGAAGGCAATGGGCAAAGTTTTCCACTTCAGCTGTTTCTGCTGCATCAGATGTCATCGCCCCCTGCAGGGCTTGCAGTTCTACGACAAGGAAGGCTCACCAGAATGTGAAAGTTGCTACGTGACATCCCTGTCTTCCTGCTCTCAATGCGGAGAGAAATCACTGACCATATCCTGAAGGCCATGGGAAAGTGCTTCCATGTCCGGTGCTTCCTGTGCAGCACCTGCTCCTGCATGCTGGATGGACTCCCATTTATTGCAGGTGAAGTCAACAAGCCCTACTGTGAACAGGATTACCACAAGCATTTCTCTCCTCAGTGTGAAACCTGTAAAGAACCCATTGTTCCGGCTGCGGGCAGTGATGAAATGATAAAACTGGTGGCTCTGGGGAAGAACTACCACATCGAGTGTTACCACTGTGAGGACTGTGATCGACCATTGTCAACAGAAGTAGATAAATATCAAGGTTATTCTCTAAATGGCAGGGTTCTGTATTAAGTGTCACAGCAAGAGAACCAGGAAGTGATTGACTGATGTGGGATCTTTAGGTTGGACCAAATTTAAAAGCATGATTTCTCTTAACATTTTTTTTGATAAGTTCATACAAGTTCTGCACTGAATAAAAACTGGTTTATTGCAGATCTTATATAAGTCTTCCAACCAAGTTTGTTGTTAGAAATACATAATGTTTTAAAGCACTTAGCAGATTTTTTAATACAAATACTTGTTTTCAAATACACGGTCAAATTCAACAATATGTGTTCAGATGAGGCTCATTTGTCGAATTAAAAGTATCATTTTGACAATAATCCTTAATCAGGTGTTAGACATACTTTTCATTAAGTCCATATTTCTGTATTAGAATTTGGTTTTGCCTGATGTAATATTCTAATCTTAAATGTCATGTTTTTTGTTTAGCTGTAAGTATAAAATCATCATGATCAAGAGAAATAAAGGTTTGGAAGAATCATTCTGTGAGTAATTAAAAACAACAGTTAGAGAACTGAAAATTATACTAAAAGTATTGCAGCATATTTTAGTTGGTTGTCAAAAAGACCAACTGGATGAATATATGGTACTTAGAGTGACAAAATAATGAAGTAAACTTGAATATAAAATACATATTTCAACAGAAAAAACTGACATCCAAATATAAGTGTTACGCACCATAAAATCTTTCAAACCAAAACAGCAGCAGGTGGTTTATACAAGCTGAAGCAGTGCAACATACTTCCAGTAGCATTGGCTTTTACTTGATCTGTAACATTAACACACACAAATTACTTTGTGAGACAAATAGAACAAAGCCTGAAAACCGACTGAATACTTCTGGAGATAGCAGGTGAAGGTAAGATAAATGTATATTTCTACTGTAGACTCAAACTTGTCTTTGACTTGTCGTAAAGCAAACAGTCACTCCCCTCTCTGCAACACAAAGTTCAGATCTGACAGTCGACAAGTTATTTCCTGGTTCCTCCCTTTTAAAGGTCAAGGCTTGGTAGAATTTCTGTACTGTAAAGAGCAGGACCTGACAATTGCTGAGTACGCAGAGCAGCGAGGGATAAACATGGATTCATCTAAATACTCCTGTTTCCATCTGTTTGGATCTACTGAAGGATCCGGTGACTATTCCCTGTGGACACAGCTACTGTATGAAATGTATCAAAGACTTCTGGGATGGAGAAGAGCAGAGAAAAATCTACGGCTGCCCTCAGTGCAGGAAAAAGTTCATGCCAAGGCCTAACATGGAGAAAAACATCATGCTATCAGAGTTGGTGGAGGATCTGAAGAAGACTGGACTCCAAGCTGCTCCTGCTGATCACTGCTATGCTGGACCTGAAGATGTGGCTGTGATGTCTGCAGTGGGAGGAAGAGGAAAGCTGTCAAGTCCTGCCTGGTCTGTTTGGCTTCCTATTGCCAAAAACACCTTCAACCTCACTATGAATCACCTGCGTTTAAAAAGCATAATCTGGTTGAAGCATCTACTAAATTTCTGCAGAACATCTGCTCTCGTCATGATGAGGTGATGAAGATCTTCTGTCGTACTGATCAGCAGTGTATCTGTTATCTCTGCACTATGGATGAACATAAAGGCCATGAAACGTCCCAGCTGCAGCAGAAATGGCTGAGAAGCAGAAGAAGCTCCAGGAGAGTCGACAACAAATCCATCAGAGAATCCAGGACCAAGAGAAAGATGTGAAGCTGCTTCAACAGGAGGTGGAGGCCATCAATGTCTCTGCTGATAAAGCAGTGGAAGACAGTGAGAAGATCTTCACTGAGCTGATCCGTCTCCTCCAGGAAAGAAGCTCTGATGTGAAGCAGCAGATCAGATCCCAGCAGGAAACTGAAGTGAGTCGAGTCAAAGATGTTCAGGAGAAAGCTGCAGCAGGAGATCACTGAGCTGAAGAGGAAAGACGCTGAGCTGGAGCAGCTCTCACACACAGAGGATCACACCCAGTTTCTCCTCAACTACCCCTCACTGCCAGCACTCAGTGAGTCTACAGGATCATCCAGCATCAACATCCGTCCTCTGAGACACTTTGAGGACGTGACAGCAGCTGTGTCAGAGCTCAGAGACAAACTACAGGATGTTCTGAGAGACTCATGGAGAAACATTGAACTGGCAATGACTACAGTAGAGGTTTTGCTGTCAGAACAAGAACCAAAGACCAGAGCTGAATTCCTAACTTACTCAAAACAAATAACTTTGGATCCAAATACAGCACATCAAAGTTTGTCATTGCTTCAGAGAAACAGAAAAGTATCGTTAATGAATCAGACATATCCTGATCATCCAGACAGATTCACTGGTTGGTCTCAGGTTCTGAGCAGAGAGAGTCTGACTGGACGTTGTTACTGGGAAGTGGAGTGGAGTCAGGACTGGGAAGTGGAGTGGAGTCAGGGAGAAGGTGTTGAAATAGCAGTTTCATACAAGAATATCAGCAGAACAGGAAGATTAGATGAATCTAAGCTTGGCTTTAATGACAAATCTTGGGCATTACGTTGTGACAGTAACTTTTGCACATTCTGGCACAACAAAGTAAGTACTTCCATTAAACGTCCAGTTTCCTCCAGAGTGGGAGTTTACCTGGACCACAGAGCAGGTATTCTGTCTTTCTACAGCGTCTCTGAATCCATGACTCTCCTGCACAGAGTCCAGACCAGATTCACTGAGCCGCTACATGCTGGACTTTGGCTGTTTAATCATGGAACTGCTGAGTTTATCTTGCTTAAATAGAGTAACTGAACATGCATAATAAGACGTTTCTATTCAAACTAACAGCTCAAAACAGTTCATCACTAAGTATCCACGCATCCAAAGTCACACTGAGAAGCTGGAATTAAATCCACAATTTTTTTTACGTTACCTATAGCTCCAGTCCTGATGACATGATGACAAGACAGTGAAGCTAATCGTAATGAATTTCATATTAAGATCATTACAAAAAGAAAAGAGTTAAATGTAAAAACACTTAGGACATTCAAATTGTCATTTTTAACTGGCTGGACTATGCAGACAGTTAAGGCAAAAAATATAAATAAATTTGGAGACACAGACAATCAGGGCAGGAGTTGTGTAAATGTAAATTTCTGTGTCTTTCATGTCACTGATTCTGAAGTACGCAAATTGAATTCTATCTTTTCCCACAACAAGGACTTTTGTATGTGGGTTAAAACTTCCAGATTCATAAACCACAATGTTTTTTGGCATGCTGTACTTTTGAACCACTAGTCTCACACACAAGAGGTGCAGGTGAATCCACAGCCACTGTTCTGCTGGATATTTACTTAAAGGAGGAAAAGGAGTTTCATCTTTTCACTTTTGCCAAATGCTTGTCAGAATCATGTCAGCTGCCTTATTAACTGAAATGTTTTGTAACTGAAATGTTTGTAAGATTGACTGAACTGAGTATTTCTGAATATGATCGGAATCTGTTTGTAATTTGCCTTCAGGTTTGTTGTGAATCAGTGCTATTTTATTAAACTGAATTAAATTGACTGATGAAGGAAACATAACCTGTATAGGTGCCATCTATTCTGCTGCACTAGGTGATGTCAACACAATATAGCCAAACATTGAGATGATATGAGGGTTTATTAATAAATTTTCTTCAGAAAGTATTTAAAAGTTACAATGAGATATGCTGTTTCCAGGAAATGTTTTTTAAAAACAGTGTGGATCTATCTCTCCTTTTTTATCGATTAAACAAACTTAGAAATACTAACTTATGGATAAAACTACACAGATCCTAATTTAAATACAAACTTTTGATTTTAGAGACAAAATTCAGAGTAGATTGAGATTAGTGTGCGACCAAAATTCAAAGATATTTGATTAAATTTCCTGCAGGTGTTCTGGATTAGCAGGCTTGCTTTTGTTCTCTCCAACATACAAACACAGGTTTATATTGCATCAATGTGGCCTGCCTTTGGTCCTGAATAAAGTCTTGATTTAGTAAATAAGGAGGCTCTTTCCAGACACTTTTTGTAGAATAAATCAGTCCTAGAATATGAAGGCGACCAGGTTATTGTGTTACGTTTGTAGTGCTGCAACAGGACAGGTGGAAACAGAAAAAGACAGATTGACTGTACTGAAACTGGCAGGAAGGACATTCTAAAACGTATATTTGCCAATGCAAACAGTTATTTTTCTCTGTCTGTCTCTTCCCCCTGCTCCGTTCTCAGCACTCTTCTTGTTTGTGACTCACCCTGACTGAGTCTAGTTGGGCAGTTTGTCATGCAACAGCAAGCGAAAGCACAGAGAACGGGGAGGGACTTGGAGTTGTCTGACAGATAAATGTAAAATGCATTGCAAGTAGTTAAGAAGTGTTTTAACTACAGTGGTAACAGCAATAATAATTAATTTAAGCTTCTTTTCAAAGGAAAGAAAGAATATCACAGAGAATTCCCTCAGACAAATCCATGGCACAGACAAGGGGTAAGTCCAGACAAATCTCTGCAAAAGGCGGTTGATGTTTGTTAAAACCTGAATCCAGGGCGACACCAAGATTGCTAAACTTATTGCTTGACATGTGGTTTCAGATCTCTGAGGTTTGGAAGAGGGGTGTGTAATTTTTAAAACCGACTGTGTCGAAAAGCTCTGGCTTAGACGATGAATAAATATACATAATTGCATAAATTATTAACAAGTTTTCTAAAGCCCAACTACATTTGCAGCTAATTTTATTTCAGAAATATTAAATACTTAAATCGAGACTATTAAATTGCTCAAAAGGTGATCTACTTTTCCAAGAACACAGATAAGAATTTAAGACCTGACGCTTCTTCCTGTGACAGTTTATAGCTCCGAGGTTTGACTCTGAGAGGGAAACGTTTGATATGAGGAACCTGAAAGTTGAGCAACCGTGTTGATAGACGTTGACGAGGCAAAGCAAGGAAATCTGATGGATTCTGCAAAACAATCTTCTATTTAAGTGGATCCTTATGCTCCCTTAAATACATTGTCTATGATCCCAGAATCAATAATTCAGTTTCCTTTTGCAAAACTATGAATAAGCCAGGAAAAGCTTATTCTTTTAGCTGGAATGGAGGAACTAGCTGCATTTCCATTACAAATGTATGCAAATCTTGGCCTGTATTTTGCTAATCTTTAAATTTTTTGATTTTATTTTATTCCATTAAATAAGAATACATTAAAATCGAATGGGAATAAACTAGTTCCCACGGTAAGTAATTAAAAATCATGGCAGTGATGGAAGTACACAGTTACATCAACTACATTCATAATTCAGTCATGGTGCTAGTGTTCAGCATCTGTCAGACATTGAGTGTCATTTTTCAGAGGCATTTTGGAGAAATTGAAGACAGCGATTTACAGAAGAGCTGTGGATTCACAATGACAACAGAAAAACAGGAACTGATGACTTCTATGAGACTCAGAAGTG